AACAGAGAGATAAAGTTGTTTGCGCCATTATTCATTACAACGAGGGATTGAGTAACTTCATTCAATGCTATCTGTACAGTGTCCAGATGCCACAAGTTGATAGCTGATAATCAGTCAAATATGGAATTATTTCCATCCTATTCCTTACAGAGATATGAAATTGAAAAAGTTATTTCTTTCACCAGGTTTTTTTTTGGTAAGAGAGTGTGAAGATTTTTGAGCCAGACATACTTCTTTCTCAGGCACAAGGACAAGATAGTTACATTATCAGACATTAACGGCAAAAACAAGTGTTTTTTATTAGGTACCTGGAAGGCCACAATACGTAGTTAGTAATCCCGCTATGAACATTTGGGGCAAAACCAAGAATAATAAGAAACACGAGGCTGCTAGTAAAAACAGCAACCTTGTTTTGTGCTCCCTCCTTCCCCTTTGTAATGTCTAGTACAATTTACCCCATGGTTTGCTGTTAGGGCATCCACTCCGGTGTTTTAGATAACAAGTAATCCACCATGCGTGACCTGGTCCATGGAGTCGCAAAGAGTCGGAGATAGAGATGTGCCGCGTGACAGAGTGAGCTCCCGTCTCTAGTTCCACCTCCTGCCAACCTAGCAGTTCGAAAGCAAGAAATTGCAAGTAGATAAATAGGTACCACTTCAGTGGGAAGGTAACAGCGTTCCGTGTGCCTTGGTGTTTAGTCATGCCGGCCACATGATCACGGAAATGTCTTCGGACAGTGCTGGCTCTTCGGCTTTGAAATGGAGATGAGCCCTGCAACCCTAGAGTCGGACTCGACTGGCTTTCGAGCAAGGGAACTTTTTTTGCTGTTATCTAGCTGTGTATTTCCATAGGCCCACAGCCAGCAGCTAGTTATGTGGGAACACACACATGATGACACTAGATTCAGGTGGTGCCACTGGACTCAAACTTTGTTACGATGATACTAGGATACTATACTAGATATCATGGGGGGGGGAGGGAACGACTTGACAGCGAGCTGCTTGTTTCAGTGACAGCCCTACATTTCTTAAAACATTTAGATGCTCCCTGAACATGAAAATACATTTTCCAGCTATGAGTGTTATGTATGTGCATACATACAGTAAGCTTCAACCAAGGGCTGGTATCGTGAAATGCACGTTCTGATTGGCTACTCTGCGTAGTAGACCAATCAGAACCAAAGGCAGGTTATGGAGGGAATGAATATCATTGGTCGTTACGCGAGAGTTATGATTGGTCATTAACTCACTAGGGGGCATGGCTTTACAAGCCCGGAAAGTTTAAAAGAGAGCTCCTTGCTCTATTTGGCTGTTGTTGTTTTGTCTGATTCCAATCAAGCTGAATTTTTGGACTACATTCTTACGCAAGATTGCCAACCACATAACCCTCTGTATTATACCTTGATTTTTTTCTTAATGGCAGTCTTTTATGCTAAATATTACCTTCTCGTCCATTCTTTCATTTTTGTAAATCTGTGTCTGATTGTGGAACTCTCTGATACCATTCATATCTAATATACGTAAATCTATCAAACATCAAGCACGGTCTACTGCTAGATGGTGCGAAAAGGCCTAATCAAATGTTTTTAAAGTTAGTGCTCATTCAGGAACAAAAATTGTAATTGTGAGTTTGACAAATGAACATGATTCAACTTATGTATGTGCGCTATGATTTACAAATGTACTGTTTGATCTTCAATAAAGTTTATAAAATCTAAAAAAAAAACCTGAATTCACTTGTTAAGAGCTGACTGATGTCTCATACTTAACAGAGTGACATGGTGAATGAGGAGTTAGGTCTACTCAGGCTCTGATCCAACTTGGGCTAGTGGGCAGAGCAACTAGCATCAGAAGCAGAGTCCTGATCAATGTTCCCTCTAAGCTGTGGAGTCTTGTGAGCAAAAATTCTACTTTGTGAGCTACTGACATTAAAGTTGTGAGCGAGCGATTTGGCTACTGCATAAAGTAGTTTGCTCTGGAGCCATCATTCCTGAGCGAAGACAGAAATCTGTGAGCTGGAGGCTAAAAAACTGTGAGCTAGCTCACACTAACTCAGCTTAGGGGGAACACTGGTCCTGATCACAGCGGGGTGCAGCGTCGGGATGGGGAAGAGCAGAACCTTCTGCCTGCAACATATCCTTTGACTCGCGAGTATTTAGGGATGCTTTGACAACATGTTATTTTATGCAGCATGCTGGGCACAGATGCCCTGACATTTCTGGGAACAGCACATTCTCGAGCAAATGTATTGCTCCTCTTCCCCCCCTCCCCCCAATGATCCTAAGAGTGGGAGTAATTTTCATTTCACTGCTCTGTCACCACTACCTTGTCTATTAAATGATTTTCCCTCCGCTTGAGTTTGTTTGCAATCTCTAAACTGTCATGCTTTACCTATTATCTTACTTATCTCTGTTACATGCGCATGAGAGGGGGGGAAAACATTATAGAGGGGAAAGAAAGAGCCCCTCAGAAGAGACAAGACTGTGCTGGAACAGCAGAAGGATGAGACATGTGCACATCCCCAAAGAACAATTATGAGCACACAGGTATACTTCACCACACATTCAAATTGCAGGGGGTCTAAACAGGGCTATTTTTGGGCTGGAACGCACAGGAACGGAGTTCCAAATGGCTCCCGAGTTGGCCACACTCAGCAGCAACTCATTAGCATAATAGGCCACACCCAACAGCAGAAACTCATTAGGATTGGCTACATTAGGGGTGTGTGGCCTAACATGCAACATGTTCCTGCTACAACATGTTTCTGCTACAAAAAAGCCCTGGGTTTGACAACAAGCAAGGTAAACAGAATAACAAGCAAAAGGTGGGTGTGGCTGGATAGCCACACTTCTGGTAACATGGGGGTGTGGCCTAATGTGGTAATGAGCTGTGCTGTCAGGGGTATGGCCCAATATGCCTAATGTGCTAATGAGCTGTGCTGTCAGGGGCGTGGCCTAATATGCTAATAGGTTCCTGCTCTTGGGTGTGGCCTATTATGCTAATGAGTTCCTGCTGGGCTTTTTCTACAAAAAGAGCCCTGGGTCTAAATCTTATTTAATGGTAAACCTACCACAATGCAAGAGTTATTAAGTACCCTGGTAATCTGAGTACATGGGCAGGCCCTTTGACGCCAACACAGAAATACTTGATTAATTACATGAATGCACACTTTCCCACCCTGCTTCATCCACAGCTGAAAGTCCTTCACGCCTTGCAAGGCTCTAAGGGGAAAGAAGTATGTACTGCAGACCATCTCCTTTAACTTAATTTATCTATGACCGAAGTCATTTGTTTGCTCAGGCTCCCCTAACGCTGCAGAATCTTGTTACGAATTACTTTTTTGTAGTACATAATTCAGCTAATACTGGCAAAGCCTTCAGCTTCTGAGGGTTTCTTCATGGATCAAGGGTGCTGTGGCACACAACGCTACAGTGCATGAAAAACAGTGGTTCAGATTAGTCCTTCTTACTCACAGAGTAAAATTTATCTTCCAAAGGCACACACTGCTGAGTAGCCAGTGGTCAAAAGAGGGGGGAAAAGTGAAGTATGCTTTAATTACAACCCCGGGAGCCACCAGTTCCAACGCCCTGCCCTCTCTGCCTCTCCTGTGAGAGCTCCTTATCTTTGAACATTTTTCACTTAGACTAAAACAGCATATAGTCTGGGGTCCTAACGGACAGTACAGTCCTAAACAGACACCCTTTCAAGTCCATTGACTTCAGTGGACTTAGAAGGGTGTAAATGTTTAGGCTACCACTGTGAGTCACTGAAAGCCATGCAGGGCACACTTGGGACAGGCCAGAAATTAATATCAACTCCAGGTATAAGATGGTTTTTGCTTTAGGAACATAGAAATGGTATGTTGGAAGTGTAAAAAAGCAGAAGGTTCCTTTTACCACATGTGGTGGACTTGTGATAAAGCTGTGAACTTTTGGATGGAGGTTCATGATGAAATGCAGAAAAATTTGAAATGTACTTTTAAAAAAGAACCAGAAATATTACTTTTGGGCCTTAAAATGGAAGAAGTGAATGTAGCAAAGAGAACATTGTTATGGTATTTGATCACAACGTCCAGAATGACCAATGCTCAATGCTGGAAGCAAGAAAAAATACCCGAATTATGGGAATGGATAAAGAAGTTACTTTTCATGGCAGAAATGGATAAAATGACAAGAAAGTTAAATAACAAAGAAGATGAGGAATTTTTCACAGATTGGAAGGACTTTAAAGACTATATTGAGAAATACTGGGATGTCAAAAATAATTTGTTTTGCTTTAATAATTACTAAGAATAGACTATAGATATGTCAGAATGAAACGGATATAGAATAGGTTACCTATAAGGTTGAAAATTAAGAAAAAAGTAACAAAAGAAAATGTGAACTTTAAGTATGTTAAAGAGAAGGGAAAAGAATAAGACAACGAGACATGGTGGGAGTGGGAGCGCTGCGGGAAGCCTGAATCAGGGAAGGGACGGTGATTTGGAAAAGGGATGTATTCAAAACTTAATATTGGACATGTTGTTATATCCTGATAATAAAATTGTGTTTTACCTGAGGAACATAGAAATGGTAAAACTAACTGATGTTTCATTAAAATGGACGTCTTCAAAAGAACATTCATCACAGACGATCATCCCATTTGTTTGATATTCTTTTAAACCACTCAAATACACCATCATAATGATTAATGCTACACTGTCCCTATGCAATTATTATGAACACAGTGCACCTTGCTGTTCTGACTGCTGTACAATTTACATGATCTTACAATTATACATTCCTTCACTGTTAAGGCATGCAGATCAAATGAGGAGACGGTTTGACATTTGCTGTCTGAAAGACCTAACATACAGGTTGTTCATGTCTTCAGAGCTTTTATGCTGTACATTTCACACGCAATCCAATGCTTTCGGCAACTTAAAACTGTTAGACATGTTGTAGCCTTTGTGACACGGGACTCAATATCAACGAAAATTCCACTGCTCCACAAACATCTTACCTCTTTAGTGTGAGTGTGGAAGGAGACAGACATGTCTAAAAGAAGTTTTCTCTGTTCTACTCTTCTGACAAAGTCCTGAATCCTCACTTCAAGATGCCGCGCTGCCTTGTAGATCTCTTCAGGGTCACACTCTCCAGTTTGAGCCAACTGCTCTGCAGCTTCCAGTAGCTTGTCTGCATTAGTGTAGGTATTCTACCAGCAAAGAGAGGAAGGAACAAATCATAAGTAACATAAACTGCAGTAATTGAACTTCTAGGAGTAGAGTTTACAATATTAAAGGTGGGGAAGCCAGCGTTTCAAAACAACAGCAGTTATTCCAACGGAGGCTCTCTGCCAAAGGCATTCACAAAACCTCCACATAGACTAATCTCCAAAAAGGCATGAAATAGTTTTTCATTTGAAACGCACCCCTCCCCAGCTTGCTTGTCTGACAGATTAAGAAGGCTGAGCACTGGCTTATTTCCGTGATCCCTGGAATCCCTCAAAGATGCCGTAAAGAAGCAAATCAGAGTTTAACCACTTCAGAGACAGAAGCTGTCTCCGGGGAGATATTTCACAATGTGTTTTTCTTATGGAGAAGCATTGACGGCTAGCACGTTGCAACAAGTAAATCATAGACACTGGGAACACTACCCCTGCAGAAAGTAATGATATTTCCCCCCACTGGCTTTTGTTTATTTGTTAGGGAAGTCATCGACCAGTGAGATTCTGGACCTATCCAAAGCAGATGCAAACATTTATTTCTCATGGCAAGCGACAGGGCTTAACAGGCTTTCCTGTTTGCTAGATTATTTCCTCTGCATATATCCAAGGCACACACAGAAGCTCTGAGATGCACAAAAAGCTACATGACGCATGCATCTCCACTGTGTCTGTGTGATGCTAAAAGGAATGTGGCCATGCCTGTATGCTTAGAGCTGTGCGTTCATCATAGCTACATAAAGTTCTGTAGTGCAGTCAAAAATATGTAAAATTACTTCTACAGTATGCATTTCTGTACTTTATTTATTTAACTGCTGCTACCCTGATTTTTGCCCTGACCTGAATAGCCCGGGCGAGCTTGATCTCATCAGATCTCGGAAGCTAAGCAGGGCCAGCCATGGGCCAGAACCTTGGTATGAGACCTCCAAAGAATACCAGGATCATGACACGGAGGCAGGCAATGGCAAACCACCTCTGAACGTCTCTTGCCTTGAAAACCCTACAAGGTTGCCTTACATCAGATATGACTTGAAGGGAGGGCTATTTTGGGGCAGGAACGCACAGGAACGGAGTTCCAGCTGGCTCCCAAGTTGGCCACGCCCAGTAGGAACTCATTAGCATAATAGGCCACACAGACCAGCAGAAACTCATTAGGATTGGCTACATTAAGGGTGTGTGGCCTAACATGCAAAGGAGTTCCTGCTACAAAAAAAAGCCCTGGGTTTTGACAACAAACAAGGTAAACAGAATAAGAAGCAAAAGGTGGGTGTGGCTGGATGACCACACTTCTGGTAATATGGGGGTGTGGCCTAATGTGGTAATGAGCTGTGCTGTCAGGGGTGTGGCCCAATATGCTAATGAGTTCCTGTTGTTGGGTGTGGCCTATTATGCTGATGAGTTCCTGCTGGGCTTTTTCTACAAAAAGAGCCCTGCTTGAAGGCAAAAAACCAACAACAACAACAAAAAGGCAAAAAACCTCCCTGGCTTTTGGCACAAATGTCTCCCCCAGGCAGCTTACAATACAGAAAGCCATCACTGCAAAACACTAAACTAAAACATTGAAATAAAATAACATGGTAAAGGGCGGCAGAAAATCAAAACTCAGTAAAACCTAATTGAGGCAGCAAGCTAATCTTGAGGCGAGCAGAACCGACGGCTAGGTGAAATAAGTATGTTTTGGCAGTCTCCCTAAAAGACTTCGAAAGACTAAAAGACTTCCTAAATAATGTCAGAGACATCAGACAAGGCTGTCGGAGGACAGCATTCCAAATAATATTGGCGTTGCAACACAAGAGGCCTTGTCATATAGACACCCAGTACATTTGGCCAATGACATTGAGGGCTATAAACGGTTATAGTTTGGTGTAGTGGTGAAGTGCGTGGATGTAAGCAAAATAGACTTGGCAACCCTAGACAGCACACTCTTGGCCTGATGTCGTTTTTTGGTTTCTTTTTCTCCCACTTCTGCCCCAAGCAGCAGCAGGGTTGCTGGTGGGAGGTCTCCCACCATAGCAGGAGACCTAGCAATCCTGAACATGCCCCTCCGTGGGCAGGCTCCCATCTTGCATCACCATATTGTCCAGGCAAGCCTCTTACTACAGAGGCAGTAAAGCAAAACACAAAAAGGAAACTCTGCAAAAATTGCTGCAGTTTATATCACAAAAGTCTATATCTCCATGTAATGCCGAAAGTCCATTTGTTTTTTTTCCCAGACATACAATCAAAGAAGTCTTCACAAAGTAATGATGAC